AAAAAAAAAAAAAAAAAAAAAGAGGGAGAAAAAAGGTCTCGATTGTTTGTGATATCTGGCAGTGCTAGAGCCATTTTTTCTTTATTGGTCTTTTCTGAATGCTGGGCCCTTCTTTCCATACCTCATTTTTTTAATTTCATTATTTGCCATAAATAGGTTCTCTGGGGCCTGAAACAAGCCTTTGCAGATAGCCAGAATGGGGAAAAGGAAGAGTAATCCTCAGAGGGACGCCAGGTGATAGACTGCAGTGGAATATGCAATTTACCCGTTATTGTTATACAGCTCTAGCCGAGAACGCTATTTACCATGTTAACACCTAAAGCACAACAGAGGTTTAGAACAGTGCAACTTTTTACCGAAAAGATACTCTCAGCACTCAATGTGCTCTGTTCAGCGTCCGTCACGGTTTTCCCATGTACTTCATAAGCAGGCAGAGAGAGAATCTTTCACTCACTTCCTTTTGATGTAGGAGTTTTGACTAATTCTTTGTGTAGCAAGAAGGCTCAATACCTAGTCATTTGAAAGCAGGAGGCAGAAGTCCCATTCCTTAGAAGTACAACGGTAGTTTTCTTTATTACATCTCATAATAGTGAAATACCAATTCTCCTACATTAAAGTAAATGGGAGTGAGCTTTGAATTTTGCATGGTACCTGGAAAGCCATCAATAGCCTAATCTATAACTGCAACACAGTACCGTTCTGTGCAACACTGAGATGAAAGTATGCATGGTGACGTTCATCATTTGAAGAGTCGTTTCCACAGAAAACAGGCTGAATCCTTTTCTTTATTTACAAAGACAACAGTGACCTTTTACCAAAGGGATTGTTGGAAAGAGCTGTTTTGTGAAGCCTCACATATTGTAGTGGCACCCAAAGCAACTCAGTTACAGGAATTGGAGGCTGATGGGTTATTATGTGTTCACCCTTGGCAGTTGGGTTGCCCAGGTGAATCTGTTCTTTTAAGTAAATTCCTGCTTTTGTCCCACCACCTGCCCCACTGCATTGCTCAAGATAGAAAGCAAGCAGTCCAGGTGACTTACCTGCAGCCACACACCGAGTGTGTGGATCAACCAGGCTTGCTTCTAGACCTTCCAAACAGCACAGCCTCCTCTTAGCCAGTAATTTTCTGTAGCCTAGAATTTGATTGCCAGGAGTGGATTCAACAAATGGTTTGGTTTTTGTCAACAAATGATAGCAATATACATATGTGTCCGTAGGGGTGTCTGTGTTTGTAGAGCTGTGTGTTTTGGGTTCCCTAGCAAGCTTGTTTGATTCACAGATATAGTAAGCATCCTCTGGAGACATATCCCTAGCAAAGGTTGTTTTTTTTCTAGAAACACTGCAGTCCTAGTGACTCTTGGGAAATAGTGAACCCTATGTTTGGGCTCTGCTCTTACTTTTGTATACTTTTGTGTTTTTTCTTTCTGGGGGAGAGAAAACATTTCTTGTGTTTAAGCATACGTAGGTTTAGCAGACTTTCAGGCACTTCTTCTCTGTCTGTCATAGGGAGGGTGCGGGGGGAGGGAATGTGTGTTCATATTTAAGATTTGGTGAAAAAGCAGAATTTGACTTGTGCAGTCGCAGTTTATGGAATGTGCAGTGAACGTGAGAATCCAGCGTTGGAGATGGGACTGGGGGGAGAGATGCTGCAAGAAAGCAATTGGAGGAAAGTCATCATTCCCCTTGTCCATGCAGACTTCTTACATGTCATTGGACAATTTCCAGGGATACCCAACCCAGCTGGGGGCAAGGCCTGAGACTTGTGTTGATGCATCCTCAAACCTGGGCAGTCTTGGTCCAGTTTGGCGTGCCTCATTGTTCCAAACTGTACCTGCCTTTGCACAGCCAGTTGTAACTGTTATTTCATTCCTTTGTTGTATTCCCGTTAGTTCCATCATTTCTTAAAGCTGAACTTGATCTGATTTGGTAGGGAGGTTAAATCTAAAAGGAAGGTGAGCCTCCCTGGTATTGAATGTCGATTAAAGAAAAATGATGCTACTAAACCCATCAAAATCTATAGAGCAGCTTCCTACAAGTCATATATTTAAAATGAATGTATTTGCGAGTAGAACTATGGCACAATACATATTGCTTTACTGATCTAGTGCAGTGATTTTTAGCCTCTCCCTGCTCCCCCCCCCAAGTCTGCATTTAAACACACCTCATTATGTAAATTCCTCAGTGAGATTCTGAAGCATGGAAAAGGCTACATGCAAAAAAATGCAGCCAAATTCTGTATGCTCTTTAGAAAGAGGAGATTTTAAAATGATGCAGGAATGTGTTCCACGTTCAGCCTTGTTTTAGAAATGTCTTAGTCAGCTACTGCTATCCACAACAGAAAAGAAACTTAAAAGGGAAAATCTATCTCTGCGTCCTTTCCTCTCCTATGCAGTGCAAGTTTGCTGTCAGCCTGCTTGAGATCTGTAATTCACAGACAGTCCCTGGCCCTGTGGAAATCTCTTAAGTGCTGCATCCTATATTGAAGGAGTAGGACTTGCTTTGGATTTGTTGCTTTTGAAGAGAGATTGGGGGAGTGCAGGGGAAAGAAGATTTGCTTCTCTGGTATCAAGATAGCACTGTTTGGTGTTTGGATAAAAAAAATTCTTATTCCTTAAGGGATGTGAAGGCATTTAGTAATTCAGGAAAGAACATGCGTTACAGATGAGCACCCATGTCCCAGCAAATTGGAGAACCAGAAAAATGGAGTGATAGATTTGCAGTTGTCTCTGTCTTTAAGCCTGCTCTTTTGTGCCATAATTTGTATGTTTGAACTGAGGAGGGATTAAAGGCTTCAAGAATACAGCTATTTAGCATTTACAAATGACAAACAACCTATTGTTTTTTGGTGGGCTTGGTTAAGGGATAAGGTACAACAAAAATATCTAAAGGACACCTTTGCTTTAAAAATGCATTTCTGCAGGCATAAGATTTATTTCACTTATTGGCATAGCTGGCCAGTTATATATTTCTTTCTGTTACCAAGGTACTTGTAACTATCTTGCACTGTTTATCTAAAGTTGAAATATGTTCTTTGAATCCTTGTATAAATAAAAAGGCTGGAGACTTAAATTGATATTGGTGCCACCTCTTATAGGTGAGTTTTATTTCTTCTAGACAGTTTAAAAAAATGCAGATGCCAGATACCTGATGGCTGTAGAGCCTGAAATCTGTGGTTTGCTCACTGGGTTAACAGTATGATACAGACATTGGGAAGGTGAGCTCGCCACACAATCAGTCCAGTAGGATGTACAGGAACACCTCTAAGAGTTACTTCGACACACAGCATGCATAAAAAAAAAACATGCTAAAAAATATTTTGCAAGGGTTAGAGAGAGAGAAAGAGTCTTGAGATGTTGGGATGTAATAGTGTCAAGAACTTCCTACAGAAAAGGCGCCTAGATTAAATAGGGTCACAACCACTGATTAACAGTTTAGAATGCAAAGTATAGTGTTAATAATTCACTACTACATTCTTACCACTTCTTACAAAGTAAACTCAAAGCAAGAGAGCATTCAATCCCACTAGACTGAGTATGGATTATTTATCTCAGGAAGACAGTCTCCCATAAAATAAAATGACATTGGACTAGACCTTGTGTTTCTATCCACACACAATATTCATTTCCAGAAATGAGTGAACACAGCTGCACATGTTACATGTAAAGAGAAAAGAAACTGAGTTAATGCCACAGTTTTTTAACTAGGTATCCCCAGGAACACACAAGACTGAGAGCAACGAGCACAATCTTTCTGCAAAGTTTATTTATTTATAAGTATCAATTTTGCAGTTAGAGCTATTCAGACCCTACACACACTGTTCTACACAGATGCATAGCTATAAATACGGGTGATCATATACAAATTAGTCATTTCCTTTCAATATCCTATTTATAATAACTGCCTAGTAACTGTGTATCTGTATGTCTTTTGTAATAAAGAGAGGAAAGCTATTTTAAAACATTTGTAAACAGCACAAATTTAGCTCAGCGCCTAAAACAGGCAGGATCTGCTTTTCAGAATTGCTGAGCACCTGGACCTCCACACATTGGATACAACAGAAGCGGCCTGTACACAGCACCACATAAAGGCACGTTAAAGAGAAATGGCCTGATTTCTGCTCTCAAACAAGGGTTGGCCACCATCTGCAATTATCACTGAATTTTGCTCCCATTAAAGTCAACAGCAAAAATCCCACTGACTTAAAAGTAAGGTGGGGACTGAACCTTATACCTTACCTTCTTTCAAGATGCATTTCCTCAGCACTTTCCGTAAAAAAGGACTGTCCTGTACTTCAGCAGTACTGAATAAGATGTAGCAGGTGAGAACATTTGAGATGTTTGATTCAGGACATCAACTTCTCCTTCTCTGGACATGGATGTGTGCGTGTCCCCTTCAGTGGTTTCAATTAAAAATATTTTTAAGAATAAGTCATCTTTCAGTGGTTTGGTTAATCGACTAACAGCATCAGTGTAAAGTAGTGTAACTTTTTAACCAAGTAACTATTTAACCTCAAGTGGAAATGAAGGTTAGACAAAGAGCAATTTTCCCAGTCTGTGTGAAATATTGTCAGGCCATTCCAGGGGCATGAATATCTTTACAAACTCTGACCACGAATGTTACTCATGTTGAACCTGCAGCTGTATATTTATGTGCCTAACTGGAGAAGGAGCCAAACGTAAGTATGTAAATAAACCCAGAGAAGACTCTTAGGCCATGCAGACAGTTATCTAAGTTCTCATCATAATTGTATTATTAGTGTCCTACTACTGATAAAGGCAAGTAATGCAAACTCAAATTACTCAATACACTTTTTCTTTTGTTTTGTTTTTCTCAAGTAGGATTAATTGTAACTATAATTCCCAGTATAAGGTAGATCGGGCCAGGCACTGGCCTCTTCATGCTCTCGACCCAGTCTTGGTTTCCTGTCACCCTTTTTGTAGACCTCTATTCCGCCTTTCCTTTCTCTTCCTTTTCTTCCACCTTTCTTCTCTCTGCCTTCTCTTCTGTCTTTCATCTTTGATCCATCTCTCTCCTCTCTTCCACCTTTCCCTTCTCTTCCTTTTCTGCCAGCCGGACTCTGGTTGTCTTTTGAAATACCTGACTTAGTTTTACTCTGATGTCTGTCTGTAAAAATGAAAAAAAGAATTTGCGTCTTAGTAAGTGCTTCGTTTCCTGGAACAGTGAACTGTACAGAAGTACAAGATGGTAGAAGTATTGAACCTTGAATCAGTTTGGCAAGTGAGAGGTAAGTGGTATATAACTTTCTGAAGGAATGAGGGCAGTTGGGTGATGGCATTCAATAGCAATTGCTCCTTTGCACTTCATGCCTTATCAAATGTAATAAAACATAATGGCAAGAACAGAAGCATGCCTAATAAAGCACATCACTTTCAGTGTGAGAGCAGCAGGAGATCCCAGGTTTGAAAAGGTATCAGCCCAAAAGAAGCTGAAGAGGGACAGATATGCAAAAAGACAACCGAACAGATGGAGCTTCACTTCAGAAGACTGCAGATCTCCTCCAAAGCCCAGTTGCTAGAGCAAAGCATTCAGCTTTCTCTCTTTGACAGCTGAAGCAGGCTTGGGTACAGTATCCAAGCATATGTCCTGGCTTTTATCTATGATGCTTTCAAAATATGTGACTTGAGCCAGTGCTTTGTAAACCAATCCTTTGTTGAGGCACTTTTCTATATTATTATCTAAGTCTGTGTCACTGGAGGGAAAGAAATCCTTTTGTTCTAGTCCTAAATATCTCAACAGTACAGCCCATATGCAAGGGAATGAGTCAAACAGTATACAGCTGGCACTTCAAAAAAGAGCAAATATGTTGAAAAAGGAATGTGGCCACTAGCTCCTTCTCCTGGCTTTATAAAAGTTTCCACTAATATGATCATATTTTCCTATACAATGTAAAACCAGGATGGGACCCCTGTTGCATGGGAAGTTTCTAGAACCCATATTCTACTAATCATGGGAGAATACATGGTACATGATCACCATTTAAAGAAAGGTAGTACTCTAATTTTCCTTTTCTCGTGTGTCTCATAATAAGTCAATGTATCTACATTCAAATATCTTAGAAGGCACTTTGGGACTGCCCTTGAAGTCTGCTTTCTCTTATTTTTCTTGATTACAAGTGACAAAGAAATGGTTTTTCCAGTTTGAGGGGTCTTCCAGGGGTTGAGTTGTGTTATTCAGTTTAGGGAGATTGAGTCAAGGTTACTTCTGGGATTTTGTTAATCTGACTTACTGCTTTTTATTTTGGGCTGCACCAACCAGCCTGTTCTGAATACACAAGAGCATAAAGGACACCAATAATATACTATTCAATTAATAAAAAACACACACACAATCAATCATCTGGGTATTGATAGGTGGAATTCACATTACGGTACATATAGCTGAGAATTCAAAAGGTAAGAGCTTTTTACTTTCCTTCATTTAAAAGTAGATATAGAAACACCTGTCTCTCTACAGCAATTTCTCTCCGAGTGACAATTAATGTTTCTGGGATACTGGTGATGCTGGGGCCTTTGCTTAGAAAATCTTCATAGCTTTCTTTTTATGAAATAAACTTCAGTTAATTAGGGAAAAAAACTTCTGACAGCAAACACCTTAGTAATCAATGCTGTAAAATAAACACTGAAAAATTCCTATAGATTCTCATGGTTTAAAATGTTGCATCACACTGTTCTTGACAATAAATGGAGTCCCACTAAGACAGTCATTGGAAAGGAGACAGAAGGCCAAAATAAACAAGAATATATATTTTTTGCAGTAAAGGATGTTAACAGTTGCAACTGACTGACCCTCCCCCTCAGAACATAAGCTGACTTGCTCAGAATCTGTTATTGCTGAATCCTCTATAGCAGCAATAAAACAAGGTGCAAAGACACTTCAGAATGATCAGTGATAAGAGTAAACTGCAAATGCTTAAAGGGACCAAAGAGGTCTGCCAAACTATACTTTTTAGTTTTAAAAAGTTGCTAGCAGCCATAAATACAACCAAACACCACAAAATTTATTTTAATTAAGCCCTGGTAACAAAAATAACTTTCTATGTTCACTACTATATTTGTATTTGGATAAATGTTTTTACATAAACTGTGTACAGGGAATAGACAGATTTGCAAATACAAACGTGAGTTTTAAATGATCAAAGGGGAACATTTTTGTCTTTAACCAAAGACTTTTTGAAAGTTAAAAGAGCACATCAACTTTTCACTGATCACCTCTCACACTGATGTGCATCTAATTTGGTCTGCCTCTTCAGTTAAGGAAAACACCATTAAATGAGTCAGTATGTTCAGTGTAGAACTGTGAAATGTATTCAACAGTTACACTCCCTTCTCTGGAACGCACTGATCTACATCGTGCAGGTCCTGTTTTATAAATAACCATTTGTAGGAGGATATCCCCATGCTTCTGTGATGAATGCCTCCTTCCTCAGAAGGACTGCCATCATGGTATCGCAGGATGTTTAGAGATAACTAGGTGCCCGTTCTCTGCATCTGTCAGAACAGATTAAAAGTATGCGTCCTGGTTGGCTCTGCTGCCTGATTTGGTTGTGAAATGTGGATCTTTTCATCTCTAAATCATCACTGCAAATGTAGCCAAGTTGGAAGACAAGTAACCATCACCAACATCTAAAAGCTAGCCACTAACCATTATTCAATGAGTTAGCTACCCTTTCATAACCCATGTCTGCAACTGGCACAACTAGAACTTATTTTAATGGCAATCTCACTTCTGGGTAGAAGATCAAAAATGGAATGAGCTCAGAGACAATATATTGCCTGCTGGAATTTCTTTAGCTGGAACTGGCAGTTCTAGGCTACCTCCGTGAGTGAGCAGAGCTCTGCAGTTTCCAGGACTATTACCCCTTTAGCTCTTTCCATGGAGGCATTACATCACTAACATTTAAGAAAGAAACAATGACTTGCATATGCTTGGTCTCTCATCAACAAACTCATTTAAAAGGTTTCTGGCAAAACCCAGATTCCCACTATGCAACTGACAAGTGCCACTTACTTCAGGAAGTCTGGCAACTACAATTTGTCAAAGAAACGATTTCCAAAAAAGGTGTGGCTCCATGGACTTTTTTTTGTCCTCAGCTACACATAAAAAATCACACCAAGTGTGCGGGTAGCCATTATTTTCTCATAGTCATCTGCTATACTGTATTCCAGAAAGTCTGTAATATTTTGACATTCATGAGCTACCTTTTTTGTCATAGTCTGAGGTCTGTTCCTGCTATATTCAGTTTTTGTAGTCAGCCGCCTTACACCAATCTCTGCTGGAATCAAACCAGTGGCTAAAGCCTTTGACTGCAGTATGCCATGCATACATATATTTACACTCCCTTGACAGTTTGTCTCTGATGATCCCCCTTAACTTGCCATTTTTCATCAATTTCAAATGTTTGGCATTTAACTGTTTTGTTGTCATAAATGAAGGGCTTCTAGCTCCCTGAATAACAGATGGGTCAGACTGTTCCCAGGGGATGAGATGGGTGATGTCAAATTACACAAAGGATGTCAGTTCTAGACAGGCACAAGAGCTTGTTCAACTACACATCAAATGCCAAAGTCACTGAGTTGTCACAAGGGGGAAAGATCCAAAGAATATTAACAGCAGACTGTGCTGCTTCTGGGCTTGCTCTCTGCTGACCTGATTTTGAAGTTTGGTTATAATCAGAGATAATAACAATTCTATTCTAGGATTCTGGAGAAAATTACCTTTTCCAAACCTACTCTCCAGAATCCTAGAATATAATCAGAAGTAATAAAAATTCTAACCAAAACAAACCAAATTTCAAAATCAGGTTGCAGATTTCAGACTCAGCCATACACTATTGGTGTTTATAAAGCAGCAATCCTAAACTGTCCCCAACTCCCTCAAGCACAGCTAAGCACTGCAGGTACAGCATAATGGTGAATCCACTCTCAGTTGTGCATCTCTGTTCTCTTGCATCCCACTTTTACTCTTGCACTGCATTTGGATCACATGGCAGCCACATGGGTGAAGAAGTTCAATGGGAGACATTCTGTTTCAGTCATGGCTTTTTAGTTGCTGCTTTTTTACTTACTATGTGTTTGTGGGGGAAAAAAGAGTTAATTTGCATGAAGTCCTCACTACAGGCAACCCCCGCTTAGTACTCTCAACAGGTTCCGGAAAACCGAGCATTAAGCAGAATAATGTTAAGCAAAATCCATTTTCCCATTATGATGCCCATGAGTGTTATAACAAAACTCACTGAGTGCAAAGTGGAATTGGGTATCAATGTAAAATGAGTGTTATAGCAAAATAGTGCTAAGCAAAACAACGTTAAGCAGAGGTTACTGGTACTTTGGTGCAGCTAAGGTCCTTCCTGCTGCCTTTGCCTACATTGGACTACTATACCTACCTGGCCATACCATTTATGCAGAGGAACCAAATAAACCTGCCATGTTTCAGCAAGGTCAGCATCATGCTGTTTGGCAAAGAACTCAGTTTTACTGTAGTCAAAATCCTGCTGGGGTTACTGTATAGTAGCTTTTTGGTGAATTCATTCTAATTGTTTTCCAGCAAACACCTGCCATTTTATTTGACAGAGGTTTTTATTGCCATCAAGTGGTACTGGATGTGCACTGCAACTATAATTCTTTCCAGTATCTCCCTTTCCTTAAACCAGGGATTTTCACATGATAGCCTTTGAAGGGTGCTTCTGGGAGAGAGGAAGTAAGTTAGATAAGTACAGGCTCCAGTGTGTAGATAAGTGCAGAACTTCCCTTCCAGCCACTTCCTTCTCCTCCCCAGTCACTGCAGTATAGGCTCTTCCCTGCTGGTTGCTCCTCCTCTTTCCCAACCCCACTTCAAGCAGGTGAGCACTAAAATAAATTAGTTTTTTAAATGGGGGGAGGGGTGCTCAATTCATAAAAGTTAGAGGGCTGCCCAAGTCTGAAGGTTGAGAACCAGTGCCTTAAAATTTCTCTTCCATCCCATATGTGTTAAGGAGAAGTAGTAACAATATGGCATTCAATATAAAGGCTGTACTGCCACATGTTTCTAAAGCAGCGGTCTTCAACCTTTTTAAGTAAGAGATCACCTCTGGCATTTAAAGCCAACCCAAGATCTACTGTGTGTTGCTCCCACCTTCCTCCCCTGCCCAGCAGATAAGTCTGTGGGGTGGGAAGGGGGAAAGGTGCAAATTGAGGCAGAGGGAGAAAAAAAAATGATGTGGGGGCATGCCTCCCCAGCAGGTAAGTCCCATCCGGCTGGGGCGCCACTCAACTTACCCCTGGTCCTGCCTGTACGGCACTGTCCCTCACTGTGGGGGCCTTGATCTAGCCCCTGCCCCTTCCCTCCCCCAAGGACTGACCTGCTGGGCTGGGGCACGTGTGCATGCACTTGGGCACTCAGCCCCCCCACCCCAGCCTCAGATCGACTCCAAGAGGCTCCAAGATCTACCAATGGACTGAGATCCACTGGTTGGTGACCGCTGTTCTAAAGCATTTACAAAACACACATGTACCTCATATATAGCATGGACTCACAGAAACAAGCCTACAGCCAATGAAATGCAGCTGCCACCTCTACAATGAAAAGCCCGTAGCAATGCAGCAGCAGTTTAGGACAGCCAAGGAAGAAAAGCACAGTGTCTTGTTCAACTGAAAAGGAACATTTAACCACAAGCAATCCAAACATATTTAAAGCTTACATACTGGCAAGCTTGCAACTTGGATAATTGTCTCTTGTTCAAATTGCCCAAGGTCCTTAAAAGAAGCATGCATGTTTTTGGTTTCATTCATCTAACCCAAGCTGAAGGTCCATATTTAATATGGACCTCAAGGGAAGATATAGCTCATCCATAAAATGACAACTCTGTTATATATTTGTGATTTCACGGTTCAGAGATTTCTCATTCACTCAAGCACATGCACATCTAACGTAGCTTACTGCTCGTCGTCTGATGTGTAGAATTTTTCATGTTGTGGAGTCTAGTTGTTTTCATTTTTAGATTACAAATTTACAAATTACAAGGGTTTCCAAGAGACATATGGTACTTATAATTCCCTGAACCAAAGAAGGGAACTTTGGAGGACAGACTTATTTTCTCCACAGTGTATAAGGGCGAGTAAAACGTTTTCAGAGCTGAATGCTCCAATCCACATAACCTGGTTAGTTAGCTTGACTGGGGGGGGGATGGAGGCTTTGGCAGAGATGACTATAATGTAGGTGTTTTCTTCAGCACATCAGCTTTAAAAAGTCTCCTATGTTGCAATCAGTGATACTGCCATAATACCAAATAACCCGCCTCTAACAGGTTTAAGAGAAACTGTGCCTATTCAAGGTCAGTTGATGCTTTAAGTCTAATGTTATGGATTTAAACTTTTTTTAGTTTCTACTGTACAGTTCACTTTGCTATTAAATATAGGCTATTCACTCAAGCAATATATTTCAGCATTCACATATCATTCCTCCTTGCTTTCCTGCACCATGGACATCTGTCAAACCTACCTGTAGCTCCTAAGCACTCTCGCCTATGACGTTCATTCCACGATTTTACTTTGCAAGACTTGCTGCAAGTGAAGATTTCAAAACAGCGAATGCAAGGCATGAGTCGGACCCCTACAGACCGTCCACACTGGTAACAGTATTTAAAAAAGGGACACCTACAAAAGAAACAGTTGTAAGAAAGGACAGCAGAGAGTTTAAGTCAAGCTATCCTGCAAAGTTACAGGCAATGTAGCAAAAGAAAGCAAAGCTCCTTGCACCACAGATATTAAAAGCTGCAGTACCCCCACAAGAAGAGTGAGATAGAGCAGTTTATCAAAGGAGTCCCCTGTTATGCAGCAGCACTCAAGCCTAGCAGTTAGTCCGGGAACATGAAGTGTCCTAGAAGACAACAAACCCAAGATCTCTGCCACTCGCTCCATTTGTTTAATGTATTGTGCACACCAGCCAGCTCCCTACACTGGTTTCCCTCTCCCATGCATCAGCATCTTTGCAAAGGCAAATGTGACAACAGATTAATTTGTTCATTTTTAATAACCTAATCCAAGAATTGCAGAGCTCAGTCAGACCTCAAAAGTTTTGGCAGGCAAAGGAAAACAACTGCAGCCACTTTTACAGTGCAAAACAACCACTCTGGGGACAGGAATCCTAGGAAAATGGAGCTGAGTAGACTATTAACAGGTGGGTCTTCCATTTCATTGTGGTACTGGCTTCTTTCCAAGAAAGCATTCATATGCAGCTGCCAATCCATTATGATCCCTAGCTCCCTTAGTACAGTCCAGCTCGCCAGACTCCATTTTGTCACAGTGTGTTCCTTCCAATGTGTAGCACTACCTGACAAAGCTAAACTGAGGTTTGAACCCACATCCCCTGAGGTCTCAGGCAATAAGAATAACCATTGGGCTCTAAGCTGCAGTTTTCTACCGATGCTGTTCAGGATAAGCATGATGCAGGAAAGATAGAAAGGTTTCCCCCAAGACAGGCAACTGCTCTTATTTGTCAAGCTACAGGCTGCAAAGAACTCTGTCACACCAGCTGTGCAGTTAATGTATGACCCTAGGATAGAAGACGTGCGTACAAATTTAACTGTTGGCACCTGATGCCCAGGTCTGTGCCGAGTAAGAGAGCCACTCTTTAGTAATGCCTTAACTCCCTTTCAATAAATGTAACACAATTAGGGCAAATATGCCACCCCACATTAGCCAAGAGGTTGTTAGTGCATCCGTCTGCAACAGGTAAAGAGTTAGGTTCACATGTCTTCTGCTGTCTGACTTGCAACAGGGAAGGAACCAAGCCTTTTACTTATTGTGCTCCAGTGCAGCAATCCCAAGAGTCATTCAGTCTGTTTTAGGTGCACAAGTGCATTCTTTCCAGAAACAGTCCTCCAGGCTACTTGGTTTGTCTTTAACAGTTTAAGGATGATATTGGCTGCAATGTGATCACCTAACATCTTTGCCAAAGATGGCTTTGGTTTTACAGCATTTCTGGTAATGGAGCACTGACTTCATTAATATCTTAGTTGAATGTCAACTCCATTAATATACTCAATATTGTCAACAGGACTACAGAGCTAAAAAAAAAGATCCAAGAACTTCCCCGCACCGTTAATGTACACAGCAGCGTACAGCAGCTCTTGGAGAATGCGGGTAACTTACAACTCGGACAACGTTACGGATTCGATATAGGAAAAGAATAATTTTGGCTTCTATTTTCCATCCCCTGCATTTCTGTGGCTCAGAGAAAACTCATTACTACAGGCTCAGAGCCAGGCTTTGCCTACTTCCTCCTGTTCTCTTCAACATTTGTTCATTTCTAATTACCAAACCTGAGACTTGTGGAGCTTAGTCTCCATGCTTAATACCAGTGTATTGAGCCCGTTTCCTGCCATAGACGAGCTTCTGTTTCAAGTTTTAAAAAAAAAGAACATTATGAGAAGTCAGACAAGAAGGGGAATCCTTAGTTCTATAAATACAATTCAGGCCTACAGCAAAACTATTAAACAGAGTAAACACACATACATTTGCTTGCGTGTGTGAATTCCTAGTCTCCCACTGCATCCTGGTCTTTAATTATGGGCCACGGTACCTAAGCACTTATGCTGAATTGGCATGCAAATAAGATAATTGTTGTGCAATTAGCCACATGATTTATGCACATAATTGGTCTGAGAAATCTAGCCCTTTATTTTTAGTTCGGGTGTCTCAGTCTCAAATTCTTGGCTCCTTTCCAGAAGACTTGTTATACCTACAGAGTGGCACCCTGTCATGACCAGGGATCCGCGTTTTCTGTTTCCCATGGAAAAACGGAAGGGGGGGGGGGGGGGGGGGGGGGGGGGGGGGGGGGGGGGGGGGGGGGGGGGGGGGGGGGGGGGGGGGGGAGAGGATTTCCTCCTTTACCTGAGGGAAATGCAGATTATTCCTTCTAATGAAGAAACCCCCAGACTTGGCAGTTTTGCAAGGAGCATTCTGCAGGCAGCACAGTTCCAGCCTGCAGGGAGCTGGGAGGGAGCAGGAGGGTAGTGAGGCAGGGGGTGCCATGTGCATGTATATGCACATGGCCGCCAGGCAGCCTGGAGAGCAGCTCTAGCAGGTAAATTGGGATGGGGGTGGGGGGATTGAGGCCCCCATAGGGAGAAAGGAAGGGAGTTGGGCAGGGCTGGGGCTGCTGTCCAGCCAGGCAGCGTGAGGCTTGGGGCCAGAATGTGTGGCCACAAGGCCCTGGCAGGGAGTGGGATGGGGCTGCAGGGAGCTCATCCAGGGGGCGGGAGATGGGGACGGCTCCCAACCACTGTGTGCACTCCCACGGGGCTATGGGTGCACATGCCCCTCAGATCTGTGTGCAAGGCAGGGCCAGGTGCAGGCTGTCTACTGCACGTATGGGCTCCCCGCCCCACTGCCCACCCCTAGGGCCTCTGCAGCCTGGCAGGTGCGACCCAGTGTGGCAGGGCAGAGTGGGACTGGATGGGGAAGCTCCTGGCTGCTGTGAGCTCCACGCTGCCTTGGCGAGGCATCCCCTGCCCATGCAGCTGCAGTGGGGGTAGTGGTGTGGGGTTGTGTCCCTTTCTGCTGCCACATGGTCAGGGGATGCCTCGCCAGGGCAGTGCGGAGCTCGGAGCAGCAAGAAGCTTCCCCACATGGCCCTGCTCTGCCCTGCCACACCAAGTCGGACCCGCTGGGCAGATGAGACCCAAGGGGAGGGCAGGGAGCCCAAGCCCACACTGGGCAGCTCTGCACACAGATTTGGGGGGCACAGGTCCCCTTTGCCCCCCTGAGTGTGCACAGCAGTGGGGAGCCAGCCCCCACACTCCCGCGTGCAGAAGGCTGGCAGCAGGCAGCAGGGGTGGGGAGCCGGGCTCGCACTCCACTCCGCTGCACCAGCTGCTGCCTCCCGCAAGCGGCAGCCAGGGCTCAGTGCTGCTGCAGGGGCACGGGGCTGCGGATGTGGGTCCCTGGCCCCATAGCCCTGGCAGCTGGGGCCCCTCCATAGAGCTGAGGGAGCAGAGGGCTATGGGGGGGAGTGGGGGATACGGGCAGGGCCAGAGGTCTGTGGATTGGGAGTGAGGGGCCTGGACCTCCATTCTGTGAGCTAAGGGGGCAGGGGGAGCTCCAATTTTCCATGTTAAAACAACGAAAATCAAATACCAAAATGCACAGGTATTTAGAATTTATTTTATTATAGTGATTGAAGCACTGGTAAAGCTTCCAAATTGCTTTAAAATTGTAAATATATGAAAACATTGTGTTCAACTGATACCTATATAGATAGATAGATAGATAGATAGATAGATAGATAGATAGATAGAGGCCTTTCATTTTAATA